TAGAAGGTGATGAAAGAATAAATGTAAACATCTGATATTTTCAATGCAAAACATTCGATGTGAAACGCGAAATTAAACACACGTGCACAGGTGAAATTGTAATTCCATCAATTGTTCTGACATTGTTATCTTGAAAAATGTGTGCGATAATATTTTGTGGGCTTTAATTAGAATCGTCATTGCACGTGGATTGAATCATACAGTGTGTTGCCCACCGACGTGGCCGCACTTGAAAAGTATATAAGAGAATGCGTTCGATTCGCATTTCCATCAAACAGTTCTTACCAATTGATACGTTCATAGTAAACTTCTAATAGTTCGAAGCTAGAAAAATGCTGAGCCGAAGTTCTTTCACACTGCTGCTCATTGGCTTGATGGTATCCGAGGTGAGTCGACAATTTCAGTCGATTTTTTTTATATTTTTCATGTTTGATACTTTTCGTGGACAATTTGTGATAATTTTTTCTGAAATAATTTAAAAAATGAAAAGCGTCCTTTTTTCAAGTTCTTAAATTGAAAAAATTCTTCTATACCAAAAAAAAGTCCACCGGAAACTTTTATTTTATTAAAAACAGTTAATAATACATAATGTATTAATCTCATCCGTTGTTCCCATTCCAAATGTATCACTTTGATTCAATTTCCACAGTTCTTAATCGGGGATGTGAGCGGAGCACCACCCGGGAGGAACGGTAAGATTGAAGTTTCATTTATTTATCCAGTTTAACTCTTAAATTCTATATACAAAGCACCTTGTAACGAAGAAATGGGAGCCTCATTTATGCTAAACTGTTCATACATATTTTAGTAAACGAAAAAGACATGTATGGAGAGACAGCTCTGCATAGAGCTGCTTTTGCTGGTAATTTTGGACATTTTTTTTTATAAAAAAGAATGTTTTGCTCAATCCGTTTCATTGATCTATGAATATTTTTCATATTCTTTCAGGCAAAGTGAAGGAAGCTGAAGACCTCACCACTGAAGGAGCCGACCCTAATATTGGAAATAATTTTAATGAGACAGCTCTGCATTATGCTGCTAAGAGAGGTAACGTTGAATACTTATTGTTATTGAATAAAAGATTGACCTGATTTTATCCCATCGATCGGTGTTATTGTTCAGGTCACAAGAGTGTCGCCGAACTTCTCATCCACAAAGGAGCCAATCTTGATAGTGAAACTAATACGAAAGAGACACCTCTTCATTGTGCTGCTGCCCATGGTAATTTTGAATGCTCTTTTCGAGTACTATGCGCATTAGTGGACATTGAGCACGTATGCATTAAAGCGAGCTTGCCAACACACAACATTTTTATTTACAATGCATACATTCCACCGAACTCACCCAACGAAATCTACGCTTTGCATCGTTCAGCCGATGACGTTGTGATAGTTGTTGGTGACTTTAATCTGACAAACGTTGAGTGG